CAGAAGACTTTGCCCTTGACCCTGCCTGGTGGAAGCCGCCAGTGACCGATGGGTAAGGTGCAAAACATCGCAAATAACCATTACCGCACATGCGTCCGACTGAGACGTCAAACTGGGCCCCAATATCAATTTCTTCTGCAAGGCCAGACGGGTTAACCGACAGGGCCGCGAGGATCCGTTGCGCACCACTGTAGCTCACGGCATAAAACATTGAGCAGACTGCGTCGCTTGCTGTGCACGCAAGTCGACTGTGATCGGGTCTCTCGTACCCTCGAATGCCGGAGGGTCGCGCCACAGTGGGAGAAAATGATGGGGCATTGGGATAGTCGGATCACTCGGGGTAAGGTAAAATGGCAAATCGGTTTTACATGACACGCCACAGTGGCCTAGCCATAGGATATCCCAGTCGTCGCCGTATGGTGACTGAGTCTGAACTCTCCGGTTATCCTGGAGCTGGAGGGCTCGGACTGCGTGGGCGAAGCTTTGAAGCTGGACTTCGATTGATACATCCCAGTCGGCATCGTCTTCCGTGATAATCGCACTTGCTAGTCTCTCCTGGACAATTCTAGGAGATAATTAGTTGAAGTCGGATATTGCAGTTCCAAACCACATGACATACCGCTGGAGTCCGTTGAGATGCGCCGTCGGGCAGCGTACTCGGTCCGTTTATGGCCATGGTCCCAGTTCTAGAAAAGGTCAGTCGTCGCGTGCATTGTGTAACTTTGGGAAACATACGTATGGATAGGATTTAGCATCTACTTCATCCGGAGTCACGCCGTCGATCCATTCGACGTGGAATTTGCTGAGGGATGAGCCCAGAACGACATTGTCGCGCTTATCAGGCCGGCTGACAAGGTTAACGGCGAAGACTTTTTGAACCTAAATAGTCATGAGCCGAAAGATCTATTTCCAGGTGAAGATCGAAGTGGAATCATTACCCCAAGGGTTTCGTTTCTGATGGCATCGAAGTCGTCCCAATCATGATGGTCGCTCCAGCCCTGCTGGATGGGGGCGGTTGCCTTGTGAGTGCTGGGTCGTAGCTTGAAGAGGATAAAAATGACCCCGAACATGATCAGAGCGAGTTGTACAAACCGTAATTGGGATGCAGAAAACACCATGCTCAGTTGTCATCGGGATAGACAATAGAACGCGTTGACCATCCCGAGTGCGCAGGAGGCGACTGTGGTTTCTTAATTTTCCCAGAGCCGCCGAAGGCGAATGAGTGGACTCACTGTCGACAGGGGAGGGAGAGCCTAGCCCCTACAATATCGGTCTTGCTAAAGCATGGTTCGTTGATAGAGCCGTTGGATCCCCACTGTGATGAACCTGTCTAGCGACATGAACCCGTTGGGCTTTGGGGGCACATGAGTGGCTTCGAGTTATATAAATGACGCTGGCGTGCATGTAGCTGCTGGGACCCTTGTTCATGCGCTGGCAGCAGCATTAGCTGGACTTGAGTTGCCAATGATTGGCAAGGCGAGAGGGCAGTCCTGATATGTACACGCGCGCTAGCCTTATCTCGGGCCGCGTGGGTTTAATAATCGCCCCAGAAGGGTTTCAGTCCTTGTTGATACTGCCGCGCTTCTAGATACCTAGATAATTTCCCACCATCTCTTATTGCAATTTATTCCACCTCATGCCGAACGCGTTCGATTCTATAGAAGAAACTATGGAATCAGCACTTGCTTCATGCAACGAGAATCAACCAGAAAATTACCCATTTGGCTCGCGAATTCGATGTGCCTTACCAACGGTTCCGCGCACGCATCCACAGTCGCAATACCCTCACCGCAGGACCGATCGCTTGGTTCAGCTCAGGAGAAGGCACTTACTCGACCGGTCCAGCATCTGGGTAGTTTTGGCTCAGCACCGAGCGTCACACAGGTTAAGAAGGCAGCAAACCAGATCTATCTATGCGGGAACGACCGCACACAGGAGCTCGGAAAGAACTGGATTTATCGCTTCCTTGCACGACTCCCTGCGCAGTTCAAAGTTATCACCCGTCGTACAATCGATACGAAACGCTATAATGCCGAAGATATTGGCCTCGTTCAGCATTCTTTCGATCAACTTGAGCCGTATATCACCACCGAGAGTGTTCGTCCGATGAATATCTATACCCTTGACGAATCTGGCTTTGTATCTTGAACGATCAGGGCAAGCTCCGATAGGAGGATATGGCGAGGGGTCACCGTGATTGAGTGCATCGCCGTGAATGGCGATATACTACCTCAGTAGGTTATCCTAAATAGCGAAGCGAAACGCACCTTCAACTTTGGTACCGTGAAATCAACACCCCTAACGAATCGCGATTTCCGAAACCGGATGGACGAACGATAAGCTTGGTCTAGCTTTTATTAAAAGTTTGGAGAAGAAAACTAGAAGCGGACAGGAACGGACGAACGCCTTCTCTTCGATGGTCATGGTTCGCAGCTTCCAGTATCTCGATATTCTCTGCTTTTTTCCTTTGCCTCATGGGACGCATTTTGCACAGACGCCGGACAAAAAGCATTTTCTTGTTCTTAAGCAGGCATTTCGGCGGAAAAATATCGAGAATCCATGGTTCGGGGACTCAACTTCGAAGGGGGATTTCTTTTGCACTCTTGACAAAATTGGCAAAGAAGCCTTAAATCTCGTACGGGCCGACATGCCTCCGCGGATACAGGCTTCTCACAGGTGACTCAACTGATGCTTGATCGTGCAGAAAACGAGCCAGAGCTTCAAATATTCGGTAGCGAAGATCCGCAGTTCACCAGACGTGACAAATTCTCCTCCGAGCGCGACCGTCATACAACAGAATGCTGAAAAGGTCACCAAGCTAATCCAAGAGGAGGGGATCAGTTCAAAGCTACATCGTGGGATTTCGAAGCTTTTCAATTTCTACCAGACACTGCGGAGCACCTTGACCAAACCGCGCATTTTCTACAGCAGACCCTCGAAAAGAAGAAGAAAGCGCTTTAAAACAGCGCTCATCACCCTACAAGCCTCTAGGCCCTGCACATGCGAATCGACGAATTTATAATTGCGAAGAGCAGGAAAGATTGCGTGAACTCAAGCGCGCAAAACGGGCTACAAAAAAATAGACCGGGACCTACCATCCCTACGGTCGATTCGGACGAGGAGATTAAGCCTCCAGATTGTATAATATTGGTAAAGCTTACCAGGATCTTTGCTTTTAAGATACAAGAGGGGAATAGTTTCAAAATTTGCTGTTTTCATATAACTGTGGTGTGGACAAGGATTATTGTATGGGCAGGCGCACCCACTATCCGCATGCACTCCGCGGGCACGCTCAACGGCATCGCGGAATTCACTGTCGCCAGAGACTATGGAGTACAACATACAATTCCAGTCGCAACCCCCGCCTTATCCTTTCAAATTATCCAAATCTGCACTTCCATTGCAATATGCCATCCAACCATGGTCATCCAATCCTATTCCGGGGAGATCTTCGGTCGAGTGGAGAAGAGGGGACTGGCCGAAGTGGAATACAGCACGGAGTATGGATGCCAACGAAATTCGCGAGCTCGTACCGGTGCTATTGGTGCGACAGGGTCTGGCTCCGCTCTCGGGAAGGGGATGGTTGGGTCTGGAATGCACACAGCTACTGGGGGTTGTCTTCAGCGCTCTCGGTGCATTTTGATTGCGTTTTGATTGCTTGTGGGGACATAGTCAGCACCATGATCGGGTTCTCGGTATCGATGATGTAGTCCTGTTGGACAATTCAAGGTTGTTCCGGGTGCGTGCCCTGTGCCCTGCATTTGTGTCGGGGCTGGTTAGGGCTGGGAAGAGGGGTTGAGTATGGAGTACGGAGTACAGTGAGACAGATGAGATCTTGAAAGCGAAGAGACTGGGTTCCAAGGTTCATCGATAGATACAGGCGTTAACACGGTACGAGCGCTCCGTATATTCACACAATAGAAATCTAAGAGATCGGCACTGTTCTCCCACCCAAAAGAACTAAAAACTGAAAAAACGGCTTGAACCCAGACGGAGTCCAGACCGTTGGCAGTGGAGCGAATTAAATTACCTGTATAAATAGTACTCCGTAAACGGAGTACAAGTAAAATCCATATGCCCCGATCCCAGCTGGACTGGCTTAAAAGTCATATTTGTCTCATGCGTTGTCCAATCGCATCGGTATTGCCCCCCTCGGGGGTCCGATACAATACACACACACGTCAGACTGTGAAAAGGCAGACTGCAGTATTCTGTCCAGTCCTTTCCTGGGGTGCGTTGCGACTGTGTGCACCGGAACACACGTCATTTGCAAGGCGACTAAATAGCAAGATATGATGAGATCTCAATGATACGAAAAAGAGCGGATATGGTATCCCCTAAGAAAGAACCTTGGAAAAGAAAGGAATAATTTGCTGCCTCTGATAGGTCAACTGGTCAGGTACCGGAGGCAAAATATGTGGGTCGTGAGACAGTGGCAGTAGATTCCCGAGGTCGTAGGATCGGCTGAAGAAGCCGTCGGTCTATCCCCAGACGAGATTAGGGCCAGGAGAAAATTGGACTGGGTGGCGCACAAGCCCCTGGTCCTTTTTTTCTGTTCCAATGAGAATCTACCGGGGCATCCGGCTCGGGTACCTGGGAAGTTGTGATTGTGATATTCCCGTACTCCGTCTTTTATTTATTGTTCCATGTACGAAATTAGTGTAATATATACTCCGCACTCCATTGTCCAAGGAATGAAAGGAAGTGAGTTGTCCATTGTATGGATCGTGGCTTGATTTGGACCATGGGTTTGGTCGAAAAGTGGGGACTAGTAACCATCAAAGTGGGTCATTTCCCTTCTTCTGTGCCTTACCTTCAGTATTTTATAAAGTCGAGACCCTTCCAAGGTTTCCTTCTCTTTCTTCTCCCTCAGTCCATTCCTTCCTTCTTGCTCACTCACATTCCTTTAGAGTGCCCAATTTTCCTGCTGTGCAGTTGATCAATCCTTTAAGCAACATCACACACACTCTCTCTCGAGTCATCTTTCCGATTCATTCGCAATGGCTCCTATCACCAAGACTCTCGCCCTTGCTGGCGCTTTCTTCGCCTTGACCGGCTACTCGGCCCCCGTTGCCAAACGCGCCGTCGTTTGGGAGACCGTCACTGATATCGTCTGGACCACCGTCGATGTTACCACCACCGTCTACCCCCAGGCCACTCATACCGCTACTGTCGTCCCTGCGGTCGCCAACGCTGTTCCTACCACCACCCCTGCTCCTGCTGTTGAAGCCCCTGTCAAGGAGAAGGTTGCGCCCACCGCTTCCTCCACCACTACCGCTGCCGCTGTCGCTGTTGTTGAGGAGCAGGCTGCGCCGACTACCACCTCCTCCACCACTACCGCTCCCGCTGCTCCCGCCATGGAGGCCGAGACTTATTCCGCCCCCGCTCCCGTTGTAGATGCTGAGGCCTCTTCCGCCGCTGCCCCTGCTGCCCCTGCTGCCACCCGCTCTGCCAACACCGAGACTACTAACAGCGAGACCACTACCAAGAGCACCCGCACCGGCGTCTGCTCCGAGGGCACCCCTTGCAGCGGTGAGATCACCTTCTACGACACCGCCACTACCTCCACCAACCCCAGTTCCTGTGGCACTACCAACGATGGTACCGTTGAGAACGTTCTCGCCCTTCCCCACGGTATCATGGTCGACAGTGACTGCGGCAAGACCGTCACCGTCACATACGAGGGCCAGACCGCCACCGGCATTGTGGTCGACAAGTGCATGGGTTGCGACAACGGCTCCGTCGATCTGTCTCGTCACTTCTTCGGCGAGCTTGCCCCCATGGGCAAGGGCCGTGCCTCTGGTGCCAAGTGGTTCATCCACTAGACGTTGCGTCGACCGCGCGTTGGTGTTGATGGCCATGACTATGAATGAACAATGGACACATCTCTGGTAGATTGCGCAAGTGGATATGGTCTTGACGACTCTTCCCTCTTTTTCCCTTCTTTTCACTTTACTATGATCTTCCCCTTCTTTCCTGGTCTCTCCGAGAACCCAATCATTTATCTCTCAGAGAGAGCGGGCCTTTTTTTTTTTTTTTACCTTTC